GGGTTTTCACACGAGCCCAGATGAAATGTGTGAATGCTGGGGACCGAAATCGATTGGAACGGAAGACCACTGAGGACTCATGTAGCGGTAAAAGATATGTTCATTGAAACTTGACTCAGCTTCATTGCGTCGGGAGTCCGGAGCTTGAGCCAATGTCTAGCAATACCAGACAATGGCCAGGTGGTTACCCCCGGTGAGGCAGGACCAGCTGGACGAGCACAGTCTTCAGTAGTTCTGGTTGCTTTTGCTGCAGTCCCAATAACTTGTGTATTTGGGCAGGTGAAATTTGAGGTTTCCTTGAACCAGCAAGACTTCGTGGAGGCCGTTTTGAATCTTGCCGCTGGTCTTCGCTCTCACCTGTAAGTCTAAGTTCTATCAACTGCAAGGGAGTTGAAGTTTGCAGGGTTTTGAGGATCAGCTGCCCTGATGTTGCAGGGATCGCAGAAGTTCCTGTACTACCAGAACCCCAGGATGCAGAGCAACTTGTACACGTGTCCTGGAGTGCAGGTTTTGAGTGAGCCCACGGCTGAACTGCAATGGCTCTGGCAGTTTCTAAGGTTTGTGTTTTCATGAATTGCCAGGAAGAGTTTCTTCAGCTGCGCAAAGCTGCAGAGTCCTGCGCAGGATTCTGCAAGTGGACCCACCTCTTGGACCGAACCACCGCAGCCTGAGCATTCGGCTCATAGGCTGGGCGCAGGAGTAGGATCTCCCTTCGGCCGGGCCTGTGCTACCAAGGATTCGGATAGTTTTGGGCTCACCGTGTGGCCTACAGTCATGTCGGGCTCTGTACATGGCAGTCCTTATTTTGAGAGAATGATCCACATTGTTTGTGGATGGTTGCAGGTGAGGGCTTCATCAGCACGAACTATTTGAAGGTCCGCTTCGGCGGGGCTCGGTGCTCAATGCCAATGACCATCTCCTGAGCCGTTCGCCTTCTGTCACAGCTTAGGTGTCCATCGAAGCAGAAGGCCAGCACCTGGTCCAGACGGCATTGGCGTCAACAGATACGGAGGCACCAAGCATAAATCAGGCATCAGGCTACTGAGTGAACACCATCTCCAGCGGCGGAGTGCTCTCAGGCCGTCGTGGAGCTCCCAAGGCTATCAGTGCACACGGATATGACGCGAGTGCTGGCAGCTCAGCAAGAGCTTGTGTGAGCATTTGACTATGACGAAGTTTAAAGCTTTGCTCCAAACGCAGTGGCACCTGCAGTTAGGCCTCTCTACATCTCCAACAACGGTCAAAACTATGCGCCCGAAGGCAGGGGTTCAAACGCCAAGATGCTTCAGCCAGGGAACTCATCAAAAAGGATTTCTTGGAGTTCTGCAAGGGCATTGCGCGTTGAAAACAGGGATGTGTGCATCAACTCGGACGAGAAAGATCATGTCGCGCAGGAGTTCTCCAGTGGGACCAGGACGAGGACGTTGGGCTCTCAGACAACTTTCCAGCTCGCAACCAAGCTGAGGGTTCTAAGAAGGTTAGAGTAAATAGTTGAGGTAGATTTGCGAGCGTTCCTGGTACATGCGAAGTGCTGCAGCAAGCTGAGAGTGAGGCCTACGACGTCCCCAAGAGTATGGCATACTTCACCTTCCACGAGAGCATCCTGCCTGGGGCTCGGAGATCCCTGGAGTGTCGGGAGCAGGCCTGCCCGCCTTCAGCAGCAACCGGTCTGGCAAGTAAGCATGGAAGCCCACAGAACTTCAGGCTTCGCAACGTCGACCCGGAGGCCAGCTGACTGTCAGCTGACTGTACTGCTTGAGTAGACGCATTTATTCATGTAAGAGAGTAGAAGGCTAGGCGCCTTGGTATTTTTGCATTTGGGTTCAGCGTTCCTCTGGGAACGAGATAGGGGCCGTGGATTGAACGAGATAGGCCTCAGCTTCTTTTGTAATAAGAGCCCAGTACATGTTTCAACATGGCGAACGGATCAGGTGATTTTGTCAAGGTACAGTACAAGATCAACTATAATGGCGAACGAGATGAGGGGCCGTGGATTGAAACTGCCGCATAAGGCCCGGGTAATGAATAAAAGCCGGGGCTCATTTGAAAGTGATAAGTTTTCATGGCTCGGGGCCTGAGACTCAGACGGATTAGGGAAGTTGTCATATTCTGAAAGCGACAGTCCAAACAGAGGGATTATGAGGTACTGAGCGACAAGTCTTTTCTTTCCATAAGACTGAAGCATGTGCTAGAGGCTAATCTTGACCGCCCCATGGCAAAGTGTGGATAGAAATGTCATGGCAGAGCAGCCTGCGGGCCTAGAATTCATGACCAGGACACTTGTGCTCCTGTGATCCTGGTCATCCCTATCAGAGCATGCTCATCCTGATGCTACGAGGTTGGAATGACATATGGTGGGGGCTTCGTCTCGGCCTTGAGCTCAGTTGAGGGAAGCTTCCACTTCCGCCTTTCCGCCTGCCCGTTTGACAGAGATGTACAGAAGCTGTCATTCAGTAGCCTGTCCATTGCAGCGATCAGGGATGCTGAAGAACAGTCCGTTACTGTTAGAATCTGAAAGTATGTGCGTTCCGCTTCAACTTTTCAGAGCGTGGTAAACCCTGCCACGAGCATTTCCTGATGCATCCCGGAGATGTGCGCTGTATCAGTACCCTTACTCGCCCAATGAAGCAGTCCGTGCGGAGCTCCACGGAAGTGGACACCTGAAGCATTGACACACTCCCAGGAGTGAAAGTGAAACAAACACATCCTGACGTGTATACTCGTGCATATTTACCTCCCGCAGCTTCACAAGATGTGAACAAGATTTCTAGACTTTGAGCTGGGGCTGTCGGTGCAGGTGTTTGGCTATGGCTTCCTGAACTCCACCGGCCTCAACTGCTCGTTTGAGTGGATTGGCCTTGGCCTTAGGGCAGCGACTTCTTGCCGAAAGCAACAGGTCGAATCTGTGTCCACTTCTGAGGCTCCCCGTCTGTGGTGTATATTTCGTCCACGCAGATCATGTGCGAGGTGGGCTTTCAGAATTCACGTCTGCCTAATTCTCTTTTGAAAACATCCTGTAGCCTTTCAACTTCACGCAGCTTTGCAGCTCAGAGGACAGATTGCAGCAACAAGATGCTAACAGCGTGGCTTGCTGCAGACCTTTGACTTATGCCCTTCGCCACGCACAGTTTTCTTTCCATGATGGACTTCCACGCTGTAGCAGGTTCCCAACATGCTGGCTGCTCGGTCCAGCAAGGTGCGCCCTCACCTTCAATTGAATTTCGCTTGCAGTTCTTTCCGAGTCTCCCAAGCTAGTGTCGGCATCCAAGGAGTATCATTCATCGTGGGTCCACCTCAGTATGTAAAGGTTTGGATTCAATGTGTTCATTGATGTCAGATCATAAGCCAAGTCTTGTTCGGTAGCGCCATCCCTCCCGCGCCAGAGCACAGCGGGGATCCCATATAGGTCTGTAGACGATCGGGTTGTCAGCCTTGAGGCTCTCGCATCTGGTTTTTTAAGAAATGGTAAGGCATGTAGTCCCACCATGTCCCACCAGCTTAATTATACGCCCCATGGCAGCTGCATTGAGAAAACCCTATCCTCAGACAAAGCCTACTGAAACGCTGCTGTTGTGAATGGCAGGCTTTGGGCCACGCAACTTTGCGAGTCACCTTGAACAATCGAGACTGGCTCGAGTCCCAATTGGTTCAGAAAAGTTATAAACAAGGCGTGTGTGGACCTGCACCTGAAAGAAGTAGGTTCATTCCTGACACTAGAGGCGTGCACTTAGGAGTTTTTTGGATCAGGGGTACAGAAATGCTGATCACGCAACATGCGATTTGTATCTATGTCAAGCTTTCAATTCCAGCATGCTTGAGCAATGACCCGTAGCTGGAAAACGGTATCTCCTTGTAATTCCTCGGAGGGATGAGCATAACTTGGAAAGCTGACCACTTCAGCTGCGCCTGCCTGAAGATCAGGTCGCAAACGAGCCTGTCTTTCAGATTCTTGGGTCTGGGCCTTGAGCAAGTGTGTTACTTTGCCATGGCATGGATGAAATTCTTGGATGCGGTAAGACTCTTCCATTCCGTGACTGTCAAGAATCGTGCGATCGCGTTTGCGACATCTATGACGCGAATATACATACCACCTGCACACCGGCATGCTGAGATGCGCACCTTTTACTTGTTGTTGTCCTTCCTTGTTTGCAGCATCGTGGCATTGAGGAGAATGTCCTATTGGCCACTATTGCCAGCACAAGGCGTTTAACGAGTTTGGGCCTTGGCAATCCTTCATGTGCTTAATGATTGCAGGGCAGTGTGGGCATGTTTAGTTTCGGAGAAGCAAATTGGCCCAATCTTACAGGGGAACGTAGCCAGCTCAAAGGGAGCTCTTCTGTGCGCAGTTGGCTGAGTTACACCTTCCGGCTGTTGCCATGTCCGGCTGGACACTTTTGCGAAAGCGCTGGAATGAGCTCCGCCCTGAGTCATTCAGCGACGCGCTCCGATTCGGATTCCTGTTTTGTCTAGCTGCTCCTTATCCATACTCCTCCCCCCAAGGCTCGCCAACTCCTTGCCCACCAGGCCGCTGCAGGGACGGAGGGATATGGCTGAACTATTGACTTGAAGCCACAAGAGTCTGCACAAATAGCATCAACAAGCTATGCAAAGAACCGCCTCTGCCAGGTGCATTCATGCCGTACCGGCGCCAGGCCGGAGCATAGGAGATTTCGAGCCTCAGGGTTTTAAAGCTCTGCGTCGTGTCTTTCTGCACAGCTGTGTGACAGAGCTGAAGATTGATTGGCAGGTGCAATGCCAGCTTTGTCCCATTGGCTTCTGGTGTGCTTTCCTCATCTTGATCAGCACTTGGGTCAAGTGGGGTTGTGTGAGAACCCCGCGCCAGAGGATCATGTCCTGGCGCGATGCAATGTGCGAAATGTGTGTTCTTGAGTCGAGAAGATGATTAGAGGAAAAGAACGACCAACACCTGAAAAAACGATAAGGGGAAACGATAATGAAGACAACATTTCGCGTACATAGTAAAGGGTTTTATACAACCTTAAGTGCCCTTGGGCAGTCGACTTGGGAGCCAAGTGTTTCATACGCCAGGATTACGTTGTCCGCTGATGCTGCTGAAGCTGAGGAGCTTTGTCCTTTGCAGAACCCAGGCCCACGCTCTCGCATGATCCAGCCTATCGGCTGCCGGAGAGGTTGGGTCTGCGATGAACCAGGCACACATGTGGGCGTCAGACAGAAGGCAGTTCGTGAAGACCGTTCTGATGCGCAGAAGCTCCCTCCAAGCTAAGACATGGAAATCGCTTGTACTGACACATGGCACTTTTTGGAGTGGCTGCTCCAAGTTAGGAGGGTTGTAAAGTAGTTGTTGGCACTGGCCTGGGAAGTCATACGTCCGCAGATGTCTGCGGGTAAACGGCCTTTCCATGCACCAGGCTTGGTGGTACCATACAAGCGCTGTCCTGCTGGCTACTACTGTGCGCAGCTCAGTGCGCTACAGTAAGGTGTGAGGCCAAGCGTCGCACGCGCAAACCAAAGTGGCAAGCTTTTGCACCGAGGCATTGCGGAAAAAATAAATCGTACTTATGGTGTGAGTTGTGACTGCGAGACCCTAATGTCTGAATGCCTTCAGTTTCACGATTGCCTGCAGAAAAGGTGAGGAGGGGGTGGCGACACGGATCTCACGCAGCACGCCGGAGCCTTAGTAAGTTTTCAGCCTTCGCAGGCCGATTCGGCAGTGCCCTGCCACATGGTTGGGATTCTCAACATTATGCGTAAACCTCCTGGCAGTTCTTCACATAGGCATTGTAAAATATGGGAGCATGCATGGGGCCTAGGCTGGATGCATGTCATTATTTGAATTGTTATTTTGTTCTTATTGCTATTATGCTACTGTTGTTGTTATTTCTACTCTTAGTGCTACTATTTTTTTACGAGCATTACGGGTATTATATTATGAATTGGGCGCATGAGGCTGTACCTGGACAAGCGCAAGCCGAAGCCCTGTGGCCGGCTTACACTGGTCTTACACTGGGTTGCTGTTAAGGAACTTAAATTAGGTTGCCATAATGGGTATAAATGTATATATACATATAGAGTAAACAACAGGTAAATAATAGGGTGTCCTTATTGTACTAACTTTATTTAAGTTCCTTAACAGCAACCCAGTACATTCCATGCCAGAGACGAGTCCTGGGCAACTGATGGCCTCAAGCGCTTCGGTTCCACGGTTTCTCCGCAAAAGATCATGCCTCCATTACATCCCGGGTGAAGTACTTCAAAACCCTGAAGCCGAACCCTGCTTGTAACGTTTTTCGTTGAAAAGCGGTTGAACAACACATGCGTGGCATGCGTTTTGCGTGTGAGATGTCCAGAAGACCTGTTTGTCGAGTAAGTTCAAAAGCAAGCCTTAAAGGAATTACATGGAATGATTGAAATTCCAGGAACCCGGACAGGCCCACACCTTTCCGATAAAGATCGTAGAAAATGCCTCAGGTCCTCCAGGGCTTCACTGCTTCGAAGGCGCTCAGGCTCAGAACCCAAAGCCGCAGAACTTCTCCACGCCGCAGCCCTGCTTCCAAGGCGGGGCATGGGGTGTGACAGTGTGGGATGTGGCTGATACTCAAAATCCTGCATGACCCTAGGTACCCTGGTCTTTTCGAGTTATTGGAGTTGAGTGTAGTAAGGCAATGTCTCCAAGCTACTGCTTCGAGCCAAACTGAGGATTTCAGGTCTTGAGCACGGAGGGGTGGCAACCTTGATTGAATATGTAGGATAGTGACAAGGACACACTTTTGGGATGCGAAGCCATTTTGTCACTACTTTGGCCCACCGCTGAAACCACCCCGCACGGGTCGTGCCGCATCGGTCCGGGCATCGTTGTTCTGCAAATGCTTTTTTTAGATTGGTTGGGTAATGGTGGCTAGTTATGAAAGCCCTCTTCCAGAGCTTTCGTCTAATGCCCATCTTTACCTGATCTGTTCAAGGGCGTGTGGGGAGGGAGCCCTCAAAAGTAAGTTGTGATTTTGGAGCCCTCCAGGGGCCCCCGCCTATGGAGCCTTTTTGGGCGGTTGTCCGCCGGGGCAGTTTTTGAAGGGTTGTTTTTAGGGCCATGATCGGAGGATATCCGCTCAGTTTTGGTTCATGAGCTTTCGTCCCCACACCCCCGGGCGCAAGTTGTGGTTGCAAGGTGTGTCGAAGGGTGCAGCACTGGCTATTGAAAGGTGCAGCTGTAGAGATGGCTTTTCTTCCGAGTTGTGAGCTACTCCAGCTTCAGGCTCCTTTCTTCCTTCTGGCTCAAGGAACCGGGGAATTATCTTCCAAGTAGTGCATGCCTCCCCCACCGCTTGAACAGCTAGAAAATGCAGCGACTGCTGCAGCTCCAACGGCTCCCAACCCGGGACCAGGTAAGGCAAGCCCTCGCCCCGCAGATGCATCTCTGGTGCCGGAATCCAGGGGCTGCTCTTCAAGTCTTACAGGAACTGAAGTTTCAGAAGCGTGCTGACCTGATATGCCACATCTTGGATCTCATGCAAGAGGAGCATGTCAAACTAAGCCCTGCGCACTTTGTCACAGGTATCGCAGCGTGCACAACTGCCAAGTGGTGGCAAAAGGCCTTAGAAGTCTTCCACTCAATCTCCAAGCAACAGCTGACTCTGCATGTTCTGAGCTTCAATGCTACCATGAGCGCATGCGAGAAGGGCAGGCAGTGGCGATGGGCCCTTCATCTCTTCCACTCCATGCCACACGCGAAGATTTCCCGAAACGCAGCCAGCTACAACATCACAATCAGCTCCTGTGAGAAAGTTGGACACTGGCAGCTGGCGTTACACTTATTCAGCTCGATGCCGAGACCCAAGATAGCTCCAAATGTCATAACCTACAGCGCCACCATCAGTGCATGCGAGAAAGTAGGGCAGTGGCAGATAGCTTTGCAGCTTTTCACCGACATGCCCAGATCTGTGGTGCCTGACCGTATTATCTACAACGCGACCATTAGTGCCTGTGAGAAAGGGCTTCAATGGCAGCATGCCTTGCAGGTCTTTGCTGCCATGCCCGCAGCTAAAGTTCAGCCCAATATCGTCACTTACAGTGCTTGCATCAGCGCCTGTGAGAAAAGTGGGCAATGGCAAGTGGCGACACACTTGCTCAACGCGATGCCCGAGGCCAAGGTCCCCCCAAGCATTGTGAGCTTCAGTGCAGCCATCAGTGCCTGTGAAAAGGGCCACCAGTGGCTCCTAGCGCTTCATATTTTCGATGCCCTGCCACAAGCAAAGATCATACCCGATGCGATAGCTTACAACGCAACAATCAGCTCATGTGAGAAGGGGGGCCAGTGGACCCTGGCTTTGCACATCTTGCGGGCGATGCCTGAAGCCCAAGTCACTGCGAATGTCACCAGCTACAGCGCGGCTATCAGCTCATGTGAGAAGGGTGGCCATTGGCAGCAGGCACTGTTGCTTTTCGACTCGATGCAAGGTAGTAGGCTAGCCCCAAACGACATGACCTACAATGCAACTATCAGTGCTTGCGGGCTGGGAGGGCAGTGGCAGATAGCCCTGCAGCTGTTCCAAGCCATGCCGCTTGCTAACATCACCCCGGATAGAATCAGCTACAAGGCTGCAATAGGTGCCTGCGAGTCTGCGGCGCAGAGGGAGCTAGCGCTCCGACTTTTCAAATCTAGCTCCACAAACGCGAGTGCAACCTCTGAAAGCGACACATGACCATCCTAGTGAACCATACCCGGTTCATGAGGGTTTCCATGGTTTCCAGATGTTTCCAGTTTTTGTGTGAAGTAGGATTTCACGTTGAGCTCCATCACAGTGCCAAAGGCACGCCTTAGCAATGTCTTGGTTTGCTGACGCAAGCATTCTTCGGAGCTCCCAGAAGGAAAGGAGGTTATGTTGTTGCAGCTGCTTGTAGAGCAGAGTTTTTCATTGGCTCGGTGACTTTGGTGACTTTGAAATTTCATTAAATGTAGTTTGCGGCCAGGATTCTAAATGCTACCGAGGCTTCAGCGTGCTGATGGAGCGTTGGGTGCCTTGTAGAATTTTGGTGGACGCTGAAGGACGTCCAAATCTCAAGTCCCAGCTTCCGGTCCCGGAAGAACATCCAAATTGCATGTTGCGCTTAGCCCCGCACAAAACAGTACAAGAGCGTTCCGCAACACACTGCCACTCTTTCAGAGATCTTTTGGGAATTTGGCTTTGTGCAGGCTTCTTCTGCCCACCTGGGAGCGACTCCCCGTACGGAGCGGGAGCATGCCCTTTGGGGCAGCAGCCTCTGCTTCTTCAGATTTCAATTTTCAGTGTGCTTATGACACACTTTGCCAGTCTAGTTCCGAAGTAACGTGAACAATAGGGGGTGACCAAAGCCTCTTGAGGAAGTACTGCCCAACGCCGCGGCACACCGGCCACGAACCTAGTGCTGCCTGCCACGTGGGATCAAATGATGTTCGACTGCTGCACGACCTCAGGAATCGTGTGCCCGGAGCGCTACATGCCCGGCGCACATCTTTTGATTCAAGTCCCGCAGAGTGCATGTGAAACAGCCTGGACACCCTCAGAAGTCCTGTTAGGTGCGGCCCCTACCCTGGCAACACGGAGCCGGCTGCATGCCCGGCAGGCCGGCAGAAGAGAGATCTGATTCAGGATCGTAGCGTCATAGACGTGAGAGGGAAAGGTTGTATCCTGAGGCTCATTCAACCCTTGGCCGGGGCAGTGGAACTGCACGATTTGTCTGGAGGGCGGAGTCTGCTGGAAGCTGAGTTGGCATTGCAGACTTCTTCGATGCACGCGCACGTACGGGATTTTGGAAGAAAGCAAGCAAACAAACCTCCACTCAGGTCCAGGACAATTGTGACCAACGGATTTTTTTGGTTTAGGCTTTAGGGGTTTAGGGTTTAGGTGGGGTCCACCCTTGAAGTTGCCTTTCTCAAGGCCCGCGCAGCCGTATGCGGCTTCCGCTGCCCTGTCCCTGTGGCTACGAGTGCAGCCCGCGCCTCAGTATGGCAAAAGCCTCATAGGGTGCAATTTGGGGGTTTCTAAGGGGTATAGGGGTTATAATAACAAGGAAACTATATAGGGATTATAGGGATTATTACATAGGGGTTATATATGGAGTATAGGGAATATATAGGGATTATATAGGGATAACGACTACTGTAGTACATTGGAGTAACTTTGGGATAATGGAAAAGAACATGGAAACTACTATAATGATACGTGTTGCATTCCCAAGCAAACATCTTGCTTTGCTACTTGCACCTCTAATTCATCTACCTGCTGCCACCGCCGTCAAGTGAGGCGGTCGTGGTCGACAGCGTGCTTCAGACCTTTGTCCAGCAGGTCTCATGTGCGAGGAGGGAGCTGGGCCCCCGGCACCAGAAACGCTGTGCCTATTCTTGATTCTTCTTGCTGATGCGTTAAGTCTGTTTACCAGTCTCAGCATTTACTACTCCTCATCACCGTCATCGTCGTAAACCTACAGAAGCTGCCGGAATCG